GTCGCTAAAGTTTCGTAGGAACGAAGTTACGGAAAGTTAATTAACAAACGGAGACGTAACAGTACTCATCATTCTCTAACGTAAACAACCCTTTGGGAATAATGCGCATGTATAAGACGTAAGCGCGATAATCCTTATCGTCATATCCTTCTCGTAAATTACGTGTGTCGAGCAAGGTTGTTTTGTAATATTACTCTTATTTTAACGGTTATTATAGCAATTAGGTATTGTTTATTTTATTTAGTAAAAGTAATTATGTTTGTGTACTTCTTTTAGTTCCAAATTTCATTGCTTATAATAGCTTTAACTTTGGTCTTTCACTTTCAAACTGTCTCTATGCTATTGTTAGTCGCCCAGTTAGTGTTAGCTTTGAGTTTGAGTATGATAATTGTGCGAAAGTAGTCCAAACATAGTTTCTAATCATATCTCGCACCAAGTCAGTTCATCGTTTCGTTTTTCGACAAATCGCGAATCATTGAGCCTACGAAGAGAAAGCATTAATTGAACATAAAAAAGCTAATATATTTGATCGAAAACCTTGACTATTAGTCAGTAGGAACATCTAATTGTTTATTTAGTGGTCTATAAAAAGTACTCAAACTAAAAAATGTTTAAATCGTGATGTAGAATCACTAACTGATTGAAATTCTTTAAAAAAAAGGGCGTATTCAACGAAATCATTAAATTTTGCAATAAACTGTGGCATGAACAAAAAATAGAAAATGAACTGAGAATTTCTTAAAAACTTAAACGAAATGAAGTTAGATAGCATTACAATTACGATAACACAGCACTGTATCCTATTATATAAAGATATACAATTTTTTACAGTTTTCTGTGTTAGGAGGACATTGCTTAAGTTCTTCATTAAGACCATCTACATTTTTGGTTTTTGAATAATTCAACGTCAAAGTTTACTTCACCTAATAGCGAATGGAAATATATGTATATATATAATTCACACTGCTCATCATAAATACATAAGCAAGAAAATCTTTATGAATATGTTGTATTTCATGTTTGGTACAAAAGAAATTTTCAACACCATGATACTAAACATACTTTATGACGTTCGTGTACAATAGAAGTAATTAAAGCGCCAGCAGGAGGCAAACGCTCAATAGTTTAAAAATTTAGTTAACCTGTGCATTGTGCTAGTTATATCAAAAATCTGCGAACTCTCGTAAACAGATGTATCTAACATAGGTGAACCGTTTGAGTAGGGAAAAAATTAAAATCACGTTAGAGTATAAGAAAAATCAGGAAATTCTGTTGATTTAATTAAACCGAAGTTTTGTCCCACAAAAATTTCATGTATGAGTGATTATTTTACATGCTCAAGTTAATCAACTTGCTGTACAAAAAAAATAGCTGTAATAACATTGATTTTATAAATGGATCGATTTTTCAAATTTCTTGCTTGGTTTGAAGATACTTATTAAATTTTACCTTTATATTATTTCTCATCATAAAATTGTGGAGTTTCGTAAGTTTGTTGTATTTATTGATTAACGTCGTGGCTCCATGTAAGACTGCCACTCTATTTGGATAAGTCCATGAAGAAAAGGTACTGTTGTATTTTTACTCATAGCTTTACCTTGTGTATACTGTTTACATCAGCTGTGAATAAATTTCTCACATCTAGATTGCAGTATGTTATCTGTACGCATAACGTGGTATTCCTCTGGTTTACGTTTGGGAGAGTAACTGAAAATAACAGAAGGAAGGACTAAGATATGTGTGACTGAGTTGAATAAAAGAGACTGGATACAATGTGAAACCAAGTGACATCAGTTTTTACTTAGGATCAAATAATAAAAACATGACATCGGACAGCGATTCTAGATTATAGAAAGTGACATTGGAATTGTGTATCAACTCTCGAGACATCTCTTTTAATGGCTAAGAGAGTATGACATTATATATGTAAGAACAATAAAGTATTCTTTGTCAGATCGCAGGCGCTACCACGTTATTGTCGTCTAAGAGAAATATTTTAACCATTTCTGAACTTAAGACAGCGATGTTATAAGAGAAAGTAAGTACGAGATCCAACATCATCGTCGTGAGAAACGTCTAAAATGCCTATGTTGGATACACGCTTTGCTCATGTATAACTAACAATTGAAATAAAGTAAGCGCTCGAAAAACACGTATACCTGAAGATATTGAAAATTTCAGTAAAATATACAGTTTACCTTTCTAAGCTAAGAGAGGGAAATAAAATATGGTACTTGTAAGTTATTTTAACAGAGACAGTGAAAATAAACATATCACAAAGTCTCAAAAAGTAACTGATGTTAATTCTGTGTTGTGATGACTTTAAAGTATTTTTTTAGTAAGTCCTGATGTAAGAAACGAAAACCAGCGAGACAACGTTCTTGTTCATAACTGAATGTTCTGAAGTTTATGATGGGCAGTAATTATGTAATGTTAAAATTAAAGAGAAGATTAGATGTCTTCCCTCCAACCGTATCACAACTAAATTTGGGACAGCTAGCGCAAATCGCTTTCGAGTAGCTTTACACGAAACTCTACAAACAAATAAAGTTTTTGTACTCGTTGTTATAATGTTTATATGTGTCCTTTATTGGTACTATACTGTATTGCATATATTTTATTTCTTAATTAATAATATTTTTTGTATTGTTGCAGTACAAATACACCTTTCGGACTGTTGAGCTAATTTAACCTATTATTTATATCGGAATTTTTCTTCCCTTAAATTATACCCTTCCATTATCCCTTAATTAATTCTACTTTGTTCTAATATTGTTTCCTGTAGTAATTGAATTTGTTATGGAATATATTGTTTGTTACTTCGTGCTATTATTGTTCGTAACCTATTTCACTGTATATACACATAGTAACGCTTGTATTTTGATAAACCTGCTTGGAACCTTTAGAAATCACCTATAACAGGTCAGTGAAATCAATCTATAATACGAAAAGTAGCAATAGGGCTCCAGCTCCTTAGGAGCTTGATACCCTAGTAAAATCTATTTTTGATACCCTAGTAAAATCTATTCTTGATACCCTAGTAAAATCTATTTTTGATACCCTAGTAAAATCTGTTTTGATACCCTAGTAAAATCTATTTTTGATACCCTAGTAAAATCTGTTTTTG